TTGAGCGATCCACTACAGAACATTGCCATCATGCCGGACGTGATCGACAACTTGGAAATTCAAACATTCAGTAAGCAGCAAGAGCAGCAGTTAGAACCAAGTACGAGCGAATCAGTTGGCGCTTCGCACAACGTTCATACCGAGGCAACTATGGTTGAAGTCCAAGTGTTTAATCCAATATCCTCAACAGAGAACGTTGCTAGCGCTGAGAGTGAGGATCCTATAAATCTAAAGAAGCTAAAAGCGGAAATGGCCATTGTGGACCAAGCATCAGAAACGGTCTACAATAATGCCGCTTCAGATGCTCCAGGCTCCGAGGATGCAGTGACATCTCCTGAACAGCTAGACTCTGCTCTTGATTCTACTGGGGGGACTAATAATTCGAAAATGGGAGCGGATATGCAAACAGAGCTTTTGGCGAAAAATGTTGGTCTTCAGCCTACAGTTGCAATCTCTGAAGAGTTAAATGTTCCAAAAACACCAGTTTTAGAAATAATAGATGAACCACAGACAGTGACTGAAGTTCATACAGTGAGAGAAACTGTCGTTGATGGCAGCACAAGGTCAGCAAACACTTTTATGGGAAATAGCACAATTGAAGTCATAACCGTTAAGGAAATAGTGAAAGAGACGGTGTTCGTAACTGAGAAGGTGACTAATTAATTACCATGTAAGCCTGAACACTGACTATTTTTTGTCAAACTTACCTGAACACCTAAACCTAGTTATTACACAACCATGAGTTTTATTTACACATAGGGTGCTACAGCTACGGGAAATATCCAAAGAAATTAGCTTTGCTTTGGTAAAAGATATTCTTCCCTATTCAGCAAACCCTCTAATATGCATTATATCTTCATATCAAACGTTGCTGCATTCTCCCGAAAGTACCTTGGTGTTCATTTTATATCCTCGTGCACCTCATCCATAGCAGTTTCTATAGTATCATTCGTATCATTTTTGAATGAAGTAGATTCCATATCAACACCCGTTTGTGGAGAAGGTTCATTACTTTGAGCGTTTATTATCATGTTGTCTCCCCTTTCCTGTTTCAGGATACTCTTCTTTGCTGCCCGAATTAATCGTCTGAACTCCTTACCATGCAGTCGAGACCATGCTGATTTATCAAATTTATCTGTCCTAAACGATTTTAAAAGCGTGGAAGCGCTATTATTAGTTTTCAACATATTCGTAATATTGCTGGACATGCCTGATGTTATTGGGGTATCTGTGTTACGTGTAGCTTCCCAACTTAATAAACTCCTTCTTAACTCACCTTCAGTAACAGGTTGCATAGAATCGAGGAAGTTGCTATTCCAAAGTAACTCATAATGATTATATCTATTGATCATCTGCTGACGTGAACCTGTGGTAGGCAGTCCTAGCTCTAATAACTTTTGCTTCAATTGATTGGTAGAGAGGGAAGTAAAGTGAAGTTTAGGAAGACGCGCTTTCGTTACTCGAAGCCCTGATCCCAAATAAGATTCCTTGTGTGATACTAGTTCGCCTCCTGGTGATGCAGTACGTCGCTCAGTAACTGGAGGATTTTTAGAATCTGGCGATGCGGCACGTCGCTCTGCAAAGTGCGGGGTTTTAGAATCTGGTTCAGCTGTATATGACTGCTGCTCTATAACAGCGATATCGCTGTCTCCACTTTCTCGTAGTGTCCCCATCATGAGACATTCATCCAAATGCACACGCTCCAGAAAGTCTTTACTATATAGCTGGTTGCATATCGGACACTGTACCTTCTCACTAGTGGCCTTAGGCTTCTTCTGTAACATATACTGGATGCCATTTTGCTTCGTGCGCTGTCTCTTGCTGGAGCCAGCCTCAGCCTCATCAATCTTTGGTGATCCCCTCTTCGAAACAGGCGCTGCCGCTGTGCTCTCAATTATCTCCACCTCCCCATCTGAATCCAATTCAATGGGTAGCGTATTCTGAACTACTTCCACTGCCTCCACCGGAGGGACGCGAACTGTTTTCAATAACTGCGCGCGTAAACCCATGTAACATGCCGCGAGCTCGCCCACTAGGAACTCTTTCTGTAACATATTCTGCCGCAGCTCTGCCAAGCATAGAGGGCACCTGCTTTCCCTGTTCAGGTATTCTCTGATGCATAGTGAGCAAAATGTATGCCCGCATTGTGTTAAAACTGGTGTCTGTAGCATATCTTTACAAATATGGCATCGCAGCAAGCTGTCAAGGTCTGCCAACTCCGGGATACTGGTTCCAGCAAAGTCACTTGGATCGGTCACTATTTGACCCGACACAACGCTCATAGTTTCTATGCTTTATGATGATATATCGTAGCAGGTTTCGTTACTCCTATGATGCTGAGCTTAGTGCGTCATCCGTAGATGGTGAAGTTTTACTCGAGACTGTGCAACACCAAAAATAAGTTACTGGCATCATGAAACCACATGACTTAAAGGTTAAGCTGAATAGAAACTATTAACCATAATACTACTAATAGTTACACTTATTGACTGAAGATAGAATACAACGGCCTGATATTGAATCGATATTAACCTGCAAATGCAAAAGAAGTGGATCACGCGTACTTTTAGGAGTAACCTCTATCCTTTCCTTCCTTGACACAAGGAACCGAATGTGCACCTCTAGTTTAAAAGCCAGTTTCAGCATAGAGAGCAGTGACCATAGCAGATCATTTCGTGTCAGCGTCAGGTGCTGCCGGCTTGAATAAAATATCTAGCCGTTGCTGTGAAGCGTAATCGTTTCGGTCTTCGGAACCTCCGAGTGCGCGCCGCCATACTGAACATAAATCCACGCCAAAAAGGGCACTTGTGGAAATGTGTGGAGCCTCTAGCATGCTCTGTGGCCGATGCAGTCCAAAAGAGCTGGATGCCGAGGAATTTAGTGGCCTGCGTGGGGAACGGGGCGCAATACGGCGTTCACTATCGAGCACGGGCTCATCGACATATCCGTTGGGAGTACCAGCAGGCATTATGATGAGGGGAGAGCCGAAGAAGTCATCGAAGAATGGCGTGTGTAGCTTTCCAGCAGACGCCGGCTGTTCGCGGGGCGTCTGGAGAGGGCTATGAGATTGTGGAGTCTCTAGCAACTGCGGCTGTAGAAGTACTCCTTCGTCAGGCGAAGCAGTGTCAAAACAAGTGTTAAACGAGCAGGTATAGCGGCGCATTAGCGGAGAGGATGACAGTGTCTCGTTTGACGTTGAACCCATGCAATTCCAGCTACCTTCGTGATCCAGCGAATCCGGTGTACGCTGCCTTTCAGGTTCTTCATCGGAGGATGCATCTGATGAAGCTGTATTGGGATGCTCCGGTGTCGCTAATTCCTCGGCGTTGCGCGCGTCTGCATCGGTTGCATAGCCAGCCTCGTCAAATGTATCCGGATTTCGGTATCGCCGCTTAAACACGTCGTAGCTCCTTGCCGCCACAGCTGGAGCTGGTGCGAGTGACGGCAGTAGTGGGGATTCCTTTGCGACTCCCACGCTTTCCCTGGTAGTGCCCGCCCGTTGCAGCCGTTGTCGAATCGCAGCGCCGGTATACTCCGCCCCATCGCGGAAAAACCGGCCCTCACAGTTGCCCTTGATCTCCCAAAAGTGGCCTTTCCCATCAAGCGATTTCCCACCCTTGACAAACGCCTCGTTCAGCGACAGGTTGTGCCGGATGCTGTTCTGCCACCCCGCGTCACACAGGCGATAGTAAGGGAAAAAGGACGAGATCCATCGGTATATCTGGGATAGCGTTAACTTGCCCTCCTGAGATTGTAGAATCGCAACACCTATCAACACCGCGTACGAGTACGGAGGTTTGCGGTCCGAAGCCAGCTCGCACCCACGTTCCAGCTGCGCGGCCAGCTCATCCACCGTATGAGTACCGCTCGCACGACCCTGCCCGGCCTCAAATGTCTGCTTGCGTCGCTGCAACTTGCTTCCACGCAAGGGTGAAGACATCTCAGGCGACAGCGGCTGCCGTCGTTTGCGCTCCCGCGCTGTCGGTGTAGCAGCCGTCGCGTCAGCGTCGCGTGTTTCTGCAACGCTTACGTGCATGTTTCTCCGACGTCCGTCGAAACTAAGTAGGCGATCTAGCACTCCCGTTACCGGATGGTCCGGATTCCCCTTCTCTTCGCGTTGTATTGCCCCTCTGCTGCTCGTGTGCACCCGTTGCCGCCGTAACAGCTTTGTCCCGCACGTCGCAACTCACGCGTCCGCACAGTAGCACAAAGCTCTCTATGCCTTAGATACGTTGTCACGTACCGGAAAAGCTGATCTTCGCAAGCCCCGTTATCCCAGCTTCCTCTGTGCGGCGGTGGTCTGCGTTGGTGTTGCGCGAGATTGCGTCGTGGGCAAAGGGGCCGACGCGTAAAATAAATTTAGGTAGGAGACCGGGACAAACAGAGCGAAGCCCACCGCGATGAGCCCAATTGGCGTGGTGTAGCCTACTAGTGGCGTGGCTTGAGCTGGTATTACACATTATATAGGAGGTTCTAATCTGTGCTTGCGCATCCACGGCAGCCGCAGCGCGTACACTGCTCGAAGTCAGCGCCGCTCTGTTGTTCCAGGGCCGCTCTTGGAACGCGACAAATGCAGGTGTGGCCGTATTGGGACTCGCCAGGCTGGATGCATCGCAAGCAGCACAGCTTCTCGTAGCCCTGCTTGCGCCACTTGGCAATGAGGTAGCGATCTGCGTAGCGGTGACGTAGAAGCCAGTCATACAGATCACGCGAGATGGCTCGGCGGCGGTGATACATGGTGTAGACATAGCGGGAGCGCTCGTGGGCGACGCGGAACACGGGCCAGGCAGAGGCGCTGGCCCGCGGCCCACGTGGCGCAGAAGCGCTCTGTAGGTCTCGCAGCTGCTGCGCGAAGGCGGCCAGCGTCGGCTCTACTTTATCGAAGCCGGCAGGGGGCGGCGAGCGAGGAGAACGTGGCATGGTGTGGAGGGGAGCAGAGACACAGCAGACTGCGTGCGTTAAGAATGCCCGCGCAGAGGAACAAAAAGAAGAGCAAAAATACGACACCAGCAGGATTTGAACCTGCGCGGGCAGAGCCCAAGAGATACCTCTGAAAGATTCGAGTCTCCCGCCTTAACCACTCGGCCATAGTGTCTTAACTGCTGAAGTATAGGATCGAGGGCCTAGTCAGAGGATGGTGAGCTATCTTCAAGAACGTGACCGCACGCGCTATGATTAGCCCCACTCAGATAAAGCGAGGCTATAGCAGCTCTGCAAGTTCACGCTAGCGGGCATAGGTTCCCCCATGCAGTATGTAGTAGCTAAGCGGAAGTGCCCGCGCCGATACTATTCTTAGTGCACGCAGAGTCTGCGATGCCGCCCAAGAACCTATCGGTTACCTGAAGAGACACATCCCGAACTTGACAGGAAATCACGTAGAGCGAATTGCATATGGGGAAGCGCACTAAGTGGCTTACAGCTAGGGCCGCGTGTCTGTATTAACATTAGTTTTCACGTGATGGGTGCAGGTCGTTCGCCATAGAACACGCAGCTTTTAATTAAGAACATAAATACTAGTGCCTGTTGAACGCTAGCCAAGAACACGGCGCATGTTGGCACGCTCGCGCAGGGTATCACGCCAGGTAAATAGTGCCATAATCCATGCCATGACTAGGACCGATGCGCCGACGCTGAGGTTGAAGGTGAACATAGGTGTCAGCCCGCGGTATTCCAGCGCTTCTATGATCTGATCTGTGGACTCCATAAAGATCATGCCTCCGGATATGAGGCAGAAGGATGTCACTAGCTCTGGAAATGGGTGAGCTGGTTCCTTGCTCTCACGGGGCAACAGTTGCAGGAGGAGAAAGGTGAAGATACGGAAGAACGAACCGTATGCGAGCAGTTTTCCCCACTGCGCGTGGATAACCGTCGAGACCTCCGACGCCTGCGCATGCTGCGACATAAGGATACCCGTAAAGAATACTGTTAGTGCTGGGAAGGGGTTGGGCGAAAACCCTGGGGACCCATCGTCGCAGCTGCCGAGTATCCCCGCAGCCGCAGTCCGGCGCCAGTTGGCCAACCGACGTTCCACAATCAGGCCGCATAATCCGCATCCGATGTACATGAACGCGATTGATACATGCTGCAGGTCTTTGGCCTCCCACCGGCCGCCAGGGTTTGCCAAATGCTCCAGAAACACATTGGTGGATCCGTAGAAGAATATGAGAAAGGACTCGATACCCTCCATGGTGGTGGTGCCTTGCGGCAGCAGCCACTTCCAGCGGGATACGTTCTCTTGCGTTGCCTTGTAGGTAACTGCGTTCCATGCCCAGCCGTGGACTGCACCAAGACCACAGTAGCGAGCAAGCGAAAGAATGCCGAGCAGGAAGAAGATACCGCCCTTGATCCAATGTGCCAGGAAGTTAAACACATACTTCCCCTGCGCAAACCGGTTTCCCACTGCGAAACCAACTGCAGCATACACTAGCAGAAGCATGAACTGGAGCCAGTTCGTGGTGCGATACACTACAGCGAACACTGCACCAAAGCGCTCCGCCATCTGCTGCACGATTCGGTGGCGCAATATTGCAGGCGGTTGCACACGCTCACGCCTGTAACCATCGCGTAAACCGGCTGGGATCTGCTCCACGTCGGGTGCGAGCTCTGCAGTCTCCTCCACTGGCGAATCCATTTTGCCAACATTACCTTCATGTTCGTCAACGCTCCTTTGGCTGTGTCCGTGCGAGCTGTTGGAGCGCTCTGGCCTGAGGTACTCTAGCGGAATAGCATGCGAGGCTGCGTCCGGGGTCAGCCACTTGGCCGCCCGCACCACTACGGCAGACACTGCGTGTACTACGGATACAATCGCAACCATCCACGAAAGCTTCCCGTATACATTTCCGGGATACAGCGATGACGGGAGCGACGCTGCGAACACTGCCAGCCCTGCCAGCCCTGTCCACAGCACCAGGCAGTGGGCAGAGAGACACGCCAGGTACCAGCGGGACTCTGACTCCGCCAAGACTAGCGACGCGGGGTACAACACCACTGCTGTGCCTGTAATTGCCGCTGCGTGAAGCCACAGCCCTCTTCTGTGTCCACTGTGTGCGTTGAAATAGGTCGTCGTGTCGTATTGCTCCCAGTACGCGCGTTCCGCCGCCGTCAGCTCCATCTCCAGGATCGGCATCCCATGCATGTGATGACTCTCGTGCGCCACAGGGTGCACGCTACCGTTGTGCAGCTGCGCTTGGCTGCCGTGCGAACCGTGCGAACCATGCTGCGCCGCAACTGCGGCGGCTAATGCCGTCAGATACACCGTTGCCAGACCGCGCATAATTAGGTGAGGTGCTGCGCAAGATGTCAAGCTCAGAGCTTTGCGTTCGTCTCATATATACCCCTCGCCCAGTGGCACGTTCGAGAGCTACAACCCTGCTTATTCAGCCTGCTCGAGTAGCTCTCAAGGCCGTTAATCCCATTCTACTATATAGGGGCTGCCTATTACGGTATAAAGACGCGGAAAAACTACGATAAGGTCCGCTAGCCGCGCTCATTTTTCTAAAATATGATTGCTGTCTAATAGCTGACCCATGATGGGCGGCTATAGCATCGTGGATAAACAAAAAAAACACGGTCGGCGGCTACACAAGGAAGCTACTACTAATGCAGCAGAAACAAAACAGGACGCAGTAAAGCATGGAAGAGAATGCGTACTTGGACGGCGCGGGTGACCGAGCGACAGGTGACCAAGCTTACGATACTGGCGGTTATACTTCTACTAGCGACGGCGGCTCGGAAAGGGGGCATTACGGTGAGGTGGAAGACCGCTGGGGTCCGCCACGGGATAAAGACTCTCATTGGGAACAGGACAGCAGCGACCAGAAGCTGATGGGGAACAAGATGCTGTCAGAGTACTCGGAAGAAACGCAACGACTCTTCACGCACTTGCAGGAGGTGTTCCAATTCCAAAAGGATAACTGTAAAAACATCTACGATTATTTTGTGGCTTTGGTGCAGTCTCGGCGAAGAGGTAAGCGTAACAACTTCGAGCGCGCGGTCGACACGTTGTACGCGGACTATGTGTTCGGGCCGAACAGCAACTTCCACAAATGGTACCAGTTTGTGTATGGGGAGGACGAGATGCCACACTGGGCATACGGCACACTTGATGACCGGATCACACAGGTCGCGCTATACTTGCTAATATGGGGCGAGGCGAATAACGTTCGTTTTATGCCTGAGCTTCTCTGCTACATCTTTTCAATCATGTGCAACCATTACTATGGGAATATGCTGCACGACGCGAACACAGTGGGGCCATTTTTGGACCACGCCATCACTCCGATATATGAGTACTACTATTCGCAGCTGACTTCGGGAAAAGACCATTCGAGTGTGGTAGGATATGACGATATCAACCAGTGTTTTTGGAACAGGACATTCATCTATACGTTGCCAGTGAAGGGAGTGGGACCTTTGAAGATGATCCCCACTGACGAGCACTACGTGTTTTTCAACAGAATTGCCTGGAACCAATGCCTTGTCAAGACGTATTACGAACGCCGCACCTGGTTTCATGTCGTTACCAATTTCCACAGGGTTCTTGTATTGCACTTGTCAGTGTACTGGTATTACTTAGCTTTTAATGCACAGCCCCTCTACACGAAGGATTATTCTATCGTTGAAGATAACACGCCTCCAACATATGTCGTTTTGTTAGTCATGTCATTTGCTGGAGCTCTAGCGTCGAGTATAACCCTCGGCGCCCTTGTTGGAGAAGCGATATTTGTGCCCAGGCGATCTCCTGTTGCAACGCCTATGGTGACGCGCTTCATAGTGACGACTATGTCGGTGATTGGTAATACGGTTCCTGCTGGTGTGCTTCTCTACCTTGACTTGGAATTTATGGGTACGCCAATGGGTTTGCTAGTAGCGACGGCTATTTTGGGGTTTTCTCTTCTTACTGTCGTCTATTACACTCTACAGCCATTGAAACACTTGTACACCAGAGCGGCAAGCGATCCGTTTACTTCGAATATCCACAATTTATCAAGACACTCACAGACGGCGTCAGTAGGTCTCTGGTCCTTAATATTCATTTCCAAATTCGTTGAATCATATTTCTTCTTAACTTTGTCTGTGAAGGATCCCATTAGGGAATTATTTATGCTTCGCATAGATAATTGCAATGAAGACGCCTGGTTAGGGAAGTGGTTCTGTGAAAACCATGGGAAGATTCTAACATGTTTACTTATCATTACCCACTGTGTTTTGTTCTTCTTGGATACCTATCTTTGGTACGTCCTTTATACCACCGTGTTTTCCATGTGCAGGTCTCTTCATCTTGGAGTATCTGCATGTGTTCCCTGGAAAAATGTTTTCTTCAATTTACCACTCAGGTTTTGTGAAAAGCTACTCTTAAAGAAAGGTGAGGAATATGATGGCCTGTCGTTCGCTACAATATGGAATGAAATCATCTTTTCTATGTATAGAGAGCATATTCTTTCCTTTGAACATATAAAAAAGTTGAGGTGTGAATTGGATGATGATGGTGAATTGCGAGGGCCTCCTATATTTATGAAAAGAAAGTCCAAAGCTATTAAAGCTACGGTATTCAAGAAATCAGCAGAGGCCAGACGGCGACTCGGTTTTTTTTCTAAGTCTCTATCTTGTCCCATGCCGGAACCATACCCAACATCGGAGATGCCGATGTTTAGCGTCTTAATTCCCCATTTTAAGGAAAAAATAATTTTGAGTATCAAAGACATTGTCAAGGGTGAAAATGACAGTACTCATGTCATTCTATTGGAATATTTAAAGCTCTTATACGCAGATGATTGGAAAACCTTTATTCAAGAGACTGGATCTTTATATAATGATGATGATGAAAAGGCGTCCAATAGAGCGAATGCATTGAGTGATCATGAGTCGTGTGCAACTCGCGCGCTATTTAGCCTTCCATACTCATTTGCGGGCTTCAAGACGGATACCCCCGAATATACCCTAAGGACAAGGATATGGGCTAGTTTGAGGACACAGACTTTATACAGGACCATATCCGGGTTCATGAAGTATAAAGGTGCTATTTCGCTTTTGCACAGATATGAGACGGATTGTACAACAGAAGAGGCTACCGAGATGGCTTTGTCTAAATTCAG